TATTAAAATAAGTAGAATAGTAGTTTATGTTAGAGCTCTCTTTGCTGACAGCAGTAGACATGAAAAAACAACAACAATGCGAACATGTGCATGCTAATGTTAATGTATATGCACGCAGTTAGTAGTGAAACCAAATTGACTGCAGACATATCCTAAATGAGTTTAGCAATGCTAACCACTGTGCAGGAGACCTCTGGTTTATATTCTGTTATGTAACAATAACAGAAAATTTGAAACTGAGTGATTTCTGAAGCTTGAAGCAAAACACATTTTAAGCTATGTTTTTGATAAGGGAACAGTGTTATAAGAGTTAGCTCAAAAATGTCAGTTTTGCATATGTCTCCTTTAAATTAGTTGTAATATACATACATCTGATCAGAGGTCTTTGTCTATTATAAATGATAGAATGTCAATCATAGTGTCGTAACACCATTGGCCATCTACAGTTGTCCAGAAAGTATCAGTATATCATGGTGAACGGCTATGAATGCCACTATTCCTGTGTGACTGTGTATTTTGTATTATTGACAGGAAAGAAAAGTTTGTGCGAAGGAGACTGCCCAAGAGTACAGGGAACTACTCACCAAGCATATTCTGCTGAGAAATGCGGTGGAAAAGGTAACCACCCAATATCAACAGTCCTGGTTCAGTCATTTCTTTAATGGACCCATATTACACTATTTTCTGACCTGTAATATTTCCTTGTCACAAACCTGGAGTATACCTGGAGTTTTGTTTTGTTTCATTCACATATGTTTAACACACACTGTTCCACCTTATGATGTCATGTGGTAATACAGGAAGTGCTCCACTGTTTTTAAACTCTTAAACACCTTCAGTAGAATCATGTGGATAATTGCAGCCCTGGAATTGTCAATCTCCTCTGAACTAAAGGTAAAAGGAGCTGTTAACTGGAAAACTACCGCTGCATGACATCATAAGGAACACAGTTTTTTTTTAGTTTTGGATATGTAGACAGACCAATAATAAAACAGAACTCCAGGTATGTTTTTATAACAAGAGTCCATTTTACTTAATATAGAAGCTTTAAAATGTTATGTTGCTGTTAACGTGTGTCTAGTATAACATTGTGCTTTTTTGGTTGGCCCTTTAGCTTGAGAAAGAGTGTGACGAGCTCAAAAAACAGCACATGCTTGACATTATTGACCTAAAGAAAAAAAATGCAACAAAGGAGTTGTTGCTTAACAAGAAAATAGCTGAACTGTCACATATGCTGCAGAGGAATTCACCAATGGCAACTGCAGATGAGGTAACAAACACATCCAAAGACATTTATTTATAATGTTGTCTTTTGTAGGCTGTTTAAATCAACGTAAAAATCATTTTTGTGACAGGACACTGAAGAGAGGAATTGTCTAGAATGAGACTCCAATAATTAATACATTCTGGAGAAAAAGACAGAGTTTTACATTCAACTTTCTACTTGAATTTCATTTCATATTGTGTTATAATTGAATAAAAGTCAGCCAATAGATCTTAAGATTGTGAGATTTTTTTTTTTTTAATAAATAAAAAAAATATTCCAATATCTCAGGATCCCAGAACGTGTTTCATCTCCAACCTGTGCTTTATTGAATGAGCAGCAAAGACTAACTCAGTGTAACAGAAGTAACTTTATAAACCCAATACAGTCCCTGACAAAAGTCCTGTCACTTATCCATTTTGTAGAAACAAAAGCTTATAACCTGACTTTAAATTAATCGACTGGTTTTAGAAATGTCTCATATGAAAGCTAAAACCCTCCCAAATTATGCTCAATATACTAAAATAAATTTGCTTCACTGAAGACAGATTGATCATTTAATGAACACAGAAAGGTCAGATTTTGGCAAGACAAAAGTTTTGTCGCCTACAGAAAACTGAACAAATAATTTTCTTCAAATACAAAAATATGTTGCATAATGTCAGTGAATGAAGTAGTGGTGCTGTGAGATCCAGATTTAATATCTTGTATGACTCCATGAGCTTGAAGGACGCATCCATGTGGTTCAACAATGATTCATACAATTTGTTGATGAAGTCATCAGGAATAACAAAGAAAGCGTCTTACATGCCTCCCAGAGTTCATCAAGATTCTTTGGTTTTGCCTTCCATGCTTCCTCTTTCATTCTACCCCAGACCTGCTCAATGATGTTCATGTCTGGTGACTGGGCTGGCCAGTCCTGGAGCACCTTGATCTTCTTCACCTTGAGAAACTTTGATGTAGAGATAGAAGTATGCGATGGAGCACCATCCTGCTGCAAAATTTGACCCCTTTTATGTTTGGGAATGAAAGAGGAGCTAATACTTCTTGATATTTTAGGATATTGATATTTGCCTTCCACCCTGCAAATGTCTTGCACACCCCCATACTGGATGGAACCCCAGACCATGATTTTTCCACCACCAAACTTAACTGTTTTCTGGGTGAATCTCGGATCCATGCGGCTCCAGTAGGTCTCCTGCAATATTTGCAGCGGCTGTGATGTAATTCAACCGAGGATTCATCTGAGAAATCCACCTTCTGCCACTTTTCCAGTGCCCGTCCTTTTAGCAGGCTGTGGGCCTTACTAATTGCCTTTTGTTTAGTGCTGGTTTCTGTGCACTGATTCGACCATGGAGGCCATTTCGAGACTGAATTCTACAAACTGTTGTGGTTGACACAGGGACTTGAGGTGACCAGGTCTGGTGGAGTCTGCTGCAGTGGAAAAGGGGCCTTGGATTTTTGAATCAACAAATGGTCCTCCCGAACAGTTGTCTTGTGGGGTCTGCCGGACCTGGGCTTGTCAAAAACATCTCCAGTCATTTCAGATCTTTTTCTTATTCTTTGTACTTGATGCTGAGACACATTGAAGGTGTCACCACCTCAGCAGTGGATCTGGTCTTCAGCCTCTTGATAATTAACGCTTTGGTCTCAGGGTGGATCTTAGGCATGTTGTCAGAGGTCAAGTTGCAGTTGATGTGAAGGTCTGGTGTGCTGGGGTTCTTTTTATACACACCCACTAATTGATTGATCAGTAACTGATCACAGGTGAGGCTGTAATCTAGGATTGGGTGCATCATATGACAAGACGACAAGACTTTTGTCTTTCCAAAATCTGACCTTTCTGTGTTCATTAAATGATCAATCTTTCTTCAGTGAAGCAAATTTATTTTAGTATATTGAGTATAATTTGGGAGGGTTTTAGCTTTCATATGAGACATTTCTAAAACCAATTAATTTAAAGTCAGGTTATAAGCTTTTGTTTCTACAAAATGGCGACAAGACTTTTGTCAGGGACTGTATACAGCAAACAAGAATGAAAATATCACCTTCAAAATGCACTCTGAAAGCTTATGTATTGAGTTTTATTCCAATATTTTGTAGATACACATTTCTGGGGTAAAGTAGATGTTCGTGGTACTTTTGCTGCTGAAGTATCTCATCACACACTGTCACTCTGCGCTGTTGTTCAAAGAAGGTTCAAAAAAACATGTTGTCTTGGTCCATGTTTTGCTTTATTGATTGATGAACTTTCAATAAATGTAAACCTTTTCTGTAAATGGTAAATGGTCACATTTTTCTATAGCGCTTTTCCACCTTCACTCAAAGCGCTTTACAACAAGGAATTAGTATTAGTATTAGATTTTCCTGCATTCTGTGGTTTGTTACAAAAGTTGACTTCAGTGTAACTGAACTAATTTCTTAGGGAATGATATCTCTTGAAAGAAAAATATTTCAACAAAGCTTATCTGTCTCCTGACGTTTGCATGATCTTAAGCATACATAAATAGAACATGTAAACCTGAAGACTGGGAGAGAGTAGGAGAGCTTTGTCAGCGGGTTACAGAAAACCTCACTGATATTTCTGTAACAGAGACCCTCTGACACCATGATCTTAGACATTTGTGAGGAGTGGTTTTCTGTGCATTGAGAATCAGACAAACTATGTAAAGAAGATTAAGATTCAATGAAGACTCCTAGTCATTATTGTGTTCTTAAAAACACTTTAAAATGTGTGTTGTGAAATCAGCCTCACCTTTTCTGATTTCTGAAGAAACCCGTATCGTATGTAATGTGATTGCTTGGAAGACATAACAAGTAAAATGGACTTTCTAGATGATGATAGCATTCTTTTTCCTTATCTCACCCACACAAATGGAGCAGCAGTAACGGCTTTTACAAACTGTGACCCTGCTGACCTCTGAGATACAGAGAAGAGAGGGACAACCAGAGACAGAGGGAGACATGGAGCAGCATGGAAGAATTTCATTCCCATTTACCTCACCACTTTTCCAGAGTTTACCTGCTCCACAGCCTTAATCAGTCTTTCCCTCACTCCCAATACCCTCACTCCAATACCCTCACTCCAATACCCTAACCCACTGCTCCCACACCTTCTCCTGTCCAATCAGAGCCCAGTGTGCCCAGTTTAAACCCCGATTGCAGGTTCAATGCTGCTTTAGTTTGTGCCACACCCCACCTTCTCTCCAGCACCCCCTCCTTCTCATCATCTCATCGTCCTCTTCACTCCCCTCATCCTCATCTCTACCAACTCCAGTGTCCAGGCCCCCGAGGGAAGACAACTCCTAAATGTCATCTAATAGGCCACATGCTTCATTGCCATGTCTTCGGGTCTGAGCCAGGGTCTGAGCTAAATCATTCAATAAAAAAAAATAATAAGATTTTCTCTTTGTGTCTCTCCAGGTTGAAATACAATAAAGTGACATAAAATGACCAGACGGCTGCAGCTGAAGAACAAGGGAGGCTGTAGGAGCAGAGAGAGAAGGCAGACAGAATCCAGATGTTTTCAAACCAGGCACCCTGCTGTACATGCATACTATGATCTTCTCTCACACTGCAGGACAGCAAGAGCCCAGGCAGATCCCTCAGTCACTGGTTCATTTTACAATCAAGTACATTAGTTCATTTTACAATCAAGCAATAAAGAGCATTGATGTGAATCTAAAATGGGTACACCTGTAAGTGATCCTTATAGAAAAATCAAGCAGGCAACAGGTTAAATTCTCAAAATATACAATTTATTCAAAATATGTTACTGCAACGTGAATATATTCCAGTAATTACAAAATGTCAGTAGTTTGTCTTCTGTTCATAATCTTCTCTTCATAGACAGTAAGGCTCTGAGTCACATGCCTCTCTGTACAACATGACCCAGGTTACTGCTTCAACAGTGGTTGTCCCTTTCTTATACTGACCCCATCATTTTAACACCAGTTTGAGTGCCTGACTAGTGCAGTTAAAGGTACAATGTGGAACTTTGTTTCTGAATGCACAATTGAAATATTGACTTTGGCTCTACATTGTAATTATTTTATTTTTGCCATATCATCCTCATCCATTTAATTTAATTCACAGTCTTCACAACCATGTTATAATGTTGTTACCACACCAAAAACATACCCAGAGTTGTGCCTCACACATGTTTGAGTAAAGTGTTATTATTAGTCTGGCTACATCTCAAAAGCTCAAAATCCTCTGTTCCACCTTGTGAAGTCATGTAGTGGTAGTTTACAGCTACCTTTTACCATTAGTTCAGTACAAAAAGGCAATTCCAGGTCTGAAATCATCCAAATTATTTTAAGAAAAGTGAATAACACAGTAGAGCATTTCCTGTATTAACATATGACATCACAAGGTGGAACACAGTCTTTTCTATTTGAGAGAAGAACTCATGTGTGAATGAAACAAAACAAGTCCGGCAATGTTTTTGATGAGGAAACAACATTATAACATAGAACAACAACAAACTGAAAAACTACAACTTGCGTGCATTCAGTTCGACAAACATACCTCTTTTTACAATGCACCTTTAACTAGTCAAATACAAACAATGGCACCACATCTTATAAGGCCAATCACAAATCCAATTGATTCATGGCTTTCCTGTTTTAAAACCCCATTAGGAAAAAATATTATAATGACAATCTATTTGAAAACAAGGACATAGTAAGAATTTACTCACAAATATTGTGTAGAAGCAAAACTGTTGTGGACCTGTGGGTTCTGTTCACAATGCAACAGATACATAGATCAAGAGGGCTACATTTAAAACTCCACTTTATACAAATATATGACAATGTACTGTACACCAAAATGGCGGCCAAAATCAGATTTATAATATTCATTGTTTTTAAAGGAAGACTCTTTGGCACTTAACAAGAAAATATACAGGAGTCCACTTAATGTTTGTTCATTTTGGGCTGTTGAGTTGATAACACATTGTGTGAAACATACAGCTAACAGGGTAAAAGGATTTGCTACATATAAACAGGAAACTAAAGGGCACATGGGGGTCACATCTGTGTAACTTACAGTGATGCAATACTTATTTAACTTATGTATCACCATGACATACAGTGAACCAAAGCCACACGATGGCCACTAAAAATATGACATCTACACAAATAACACTGTTATTTGTAGTGGCACACATAAATCCACCTGAGTGAGGATAGATTAGTGTGTTTTCAATAGCATGTACACATTAAGAACAGTAAGACCCTTCACTTAAGCTCCATCAGTTGATTTTTCATGTCAGAAGGTGCTTTGCTGGTCAAGTCACCAGCTCCACTCGAAACCATTCACTCGATACATGCCATTCAAATAATAAATACACTCAGCTTTACCAATATGCTTTTTACACATTACAATACAGTATATAAATTAAAATGTACAGCTAACCGTCAACAATGTTTTGTTTTAATCATCCATCGCAGAGGAGTGGTCAGTTAAGGATTGATCAGAGGACGGCGGCGAGGAGCAGTCTAAATACTGAAATGCAGTTTATAACACTGGAGAATGGCGTGGCTTCCCTTTACATTTTACATACCATCATTTAGAGGGTTTAAAAAGGTCAACATTTATGTTTTTTTCCCAATAACACATGTATTCTGGTCAAATTTTGATTTTCACCATTAAAGGAGCACTGTGTAACTTCTCTGGTGGAGAGTCAGTCACCAGCTTCTCTCCATGGAGATATTGCCTGGAATATTCTACTGTATGGTATTACTTTTTTTTTTTTTTTATCTCTACAGAGACAGCAGGTGACACCACAGGGCCAAGTTGCATGTAAGACTGGTGGAGAGGTGAGCCCACGAACAGTAAGAATGCATGTTTTTGGGTCATAAAACCGCATGTTACTGAGTAAATTCAAGATGGATAGATTTAATGCCACACTGGGACATTCCAAACACATACAGAGTGCACCTTTAATTATGAATGTATGTACAGATATTTACTTTTATAGTACACAAAACTGCAATGAGCTTTTTCTGAATGAAAAGCGAATGTTTTGCTGTGGAAATCAACAGATTCTTTAGTAGTCCGGTTTAAATAGTCTTATTTTACTCAATAAAAAGATAACTTGAAAAATTTGAAATATTTCTGAAAACAGACTAATTGCAAAATGGAATAAGTTTGTCATTGTTCAGCATAAACGTTGACCCTTTGTTATGTCATGTAATGCCTTCCAATAGATTTTGCTGGTCTCTACATGTAACATAAATTATAAAAGGCTTTTCAGTTTGACCAGTCAGCGTGACCATGACGAAGATGAGTTCGGTCTAAAAGGCATGTGACAGTTGTGCTCACCTGAATGTCCTGTCTCATATAATAGCCTCTGCGGAGACACAAAAGTGCTCCCATTTGCGCCAGAACATGCAGTACCTGGAGTTACTTCATAGACTTCAATTCTTGACTTGAATCTCCTAAATCTTACTGAGTAGCTACAGGCAGATTCTCTTTCCATCAGATTAGCGTGACCTTTCATGTAAATTACACATAAGCACTCCTCTGTCTCTCTGTATTTCTCCAGAAAGTGTTTTATTTATTTTGTCTTTTTAACATTTATCACTTGTTCATATGGCGAGTTTGCATTTTCAGTAGCGAGCAGAGTACTCCTGTGCAGTGGAGGAGGTGTGAGGGGGAAATACTGTCTTTTCCTAACTCCAAATACTTTTAGTGACATCAGCGATCACATGACCAGGGTGCTACGACACACAGCAGCAGGTCCGAGGCTTGGGTGCCTCTTCTTCTAGCGGCTGCTTAAGTTTCAGAAGGGGCGGATCCCCACTGGCAGGAGTGTAGTAAACTGCGCTGCCATTGGATGAGACCAGCGGCATGCGGGGGTCGTCTGAATTGTTTTTGATGTCTGAGAAAGAGTCTGTGGAGCCGTTGCCTAGGTGACCGTTGAACAAAGGGTGGTTTAACAGTTTGGCTGCTGCCCTTTGCCGTTTCAGCTCTGACAGAGTTTGGGGGCGGTCCCGCGGCCAGGTCTCTTCCTGAGTGGGCGTGGACAGGAGGGAGGTCTTGTCTGAAGGGGGGGCATTGCCGTTGGAGGGGGACTGGGGGGGCATGGATGTGGTGGTGGAGATGAGCCCATTCGGTCGACTCTCTTTGAGGATGGCGGGCAGTTTGGGTTTGTCCGGCAGCTCGATCACCGGCTTCACCTGAGAGACAACAACAAAAACTTTTGTTTACACTGTGCTCTGACTGGAAAATCAATTATAGTTTTGCAATTCTAGTGCTTAAAATACATTATGTTGCATCACACACAAGACAGACAGAAAGCACAAGAAAACTGACATATCTCAAAGAAATTTCCATTGTGGTATTTCTTCTGTGTGACAGTAAAAGCCACAGGTGGGTGCAGGAAGTGATTTGAGTTTAAAGCAGACCTCAGACAGAATATTCAACATTATTTCAGAGACATATTTACATTGAGCATATACACAGTTAAAGTACACACACACACACACACACACACACACACGTACACTGAGCACACAGACTCCTACATTGAGTACACACGGTCACATATATTTCATACACACACAGCACTTACATTGAGTACTTGGCTGTTCTCCTGGTCTGTGTCTCTCTCTCTTTCGTCCTGCTCCTCTCTTCCTCCTCTCCACACTATGGCCTCTGTCTCATACTCTTTACGGCACAGGTTGTGTCTATCAGACAGACTGGCCCTCCTCACCACTTTACTGTAAATACAAACACTTGTGTTATATTTATATACATTTTACTTATTTTGTGTCCTTCTAGACAGCATTACAGTGTTTGAAAAATCTATTTATACCATATTTTTTGCAATACAGCCTGGCACCCAGCAGGTGTCATCACTTACCCACGACTGCCTGCACTGGAGGTCCTCCTGCACAGTGAGGTCTTGTGCTTGAGTTGAGACTTCATGATGATGTCATGTTTGTGTTTAAGGTCCAATAAGATATTTCTGAACTCCTCATCTTCACACAAATCTAAATGAAAAGTGCATTATTTATTTTCTGATTCAAAATGGTTCAACGAAGGGAACAAGAAAGACATCATTTTGATTAAACTGAGTTCATAAGAACAACCTACAATAACTTCACACCTCCTCTGCCAAATTTTGAATAAAATAATATACAACTTATTAATAGATTTTCAGATGTATTTTGACAGAACAATAGGAATTGTACTGAATCAACAGTATAGAACAATATTTACATCACCTCCCTGGAAATAGTGTCAGATGCACAGGGAGCTGAACTTAAAGATAAATAAGAATAAATAAGAACAAAACACAGATTTCAACTAAGTGCAATGACACAGTATACAGCACATTCCAGTCTGTAGTGTTTAAGCACCTTTTTATCCATGGCCATTAAGAGTGGACGACTAGAATAACACAATTTGGAAAACAGACTCCAGAGAAACTATTTAAGTCATTACAATTCCAATTCAACCCAAAGTCACCTTGCTCGGAGGCTAGAGTACTGCTACTACAAACGAATACACTGTTAAAAGCTACGCTGTACTAAAATCAAGATGTTAATAGGTTTTGAAGTTTTTGTGTCAGTGTTTTGTTCTTACCGATGGGGGTCTCCTCGAGGAACGTCTTGGCATTGAGACTGGCTCCATGTGACACCAACAGCTCTGCCACATGCATCTACAGGACCACACAAATCCCATTACAGCTAGTCTCTTAACTAGGCCTGACAATTACTATATTGACTTAACATTCAATATATGAAAGCCGGAACAATATTTTTAAGTGGTATTTATCATGTGTACTTCTGGGAAACTTGTGGTTATTTTTTGGTTATTAATTAATTCATAACTTCTATGACTCATTACAGAAGCAAATTAAGTACTAAAGTGTTTCATTTGGCTATCTCTTTATTGGAGCTCATGTTTTTTGGTTGTTTTTTTTTTTGTTTTGCTTTGTTTTGTTGTTTTTTTTAACAATATTATACATTTAGATTTTTTTTTTTGTGTGATTTGAATCTGCTCTTGAGTTTTTGTATCAGTGTCATAAATTAGTTGCTGTATTGCCGTTAATCATTTATCATCATGTGTTATTGTGACAGGCTTACTTTTTTCAATTTTGAAATTATACATAATGAAAACAAAACTAAACAAACCAAAAAAAAAAAAACTTCCACAACCTACCAGTCTCACCACACTATTCACACACAAAACAAACATGAACTGTCAGTCAAGTTCAGTCCAATCTAGATGATCAAAAAAGATGTGGCGACAGGCTTCTTCTTAACAAACATTTCATTTCCCCCCATTTCCCAGCTTCCTGTTGTGTTGACCTCACCTGACCCCAGCACGCCGCTGCATGGAGGGGCTGCCACCCGTCGGAGTCCCTGAGGTCCATGCGGGCTCCCCCCTCCAGAAGTAACTCTGCAGCCTGCACGTAGCCATTCGCTGCAGCAATGTGGAGCTGGCAAGGGGCAAAGGACGATCAATGAGTTTTAAGGGCACATGTCTCGCTGGCTAAAAATGCTTAGTGCTAAGTAAGGGGCTAAACCAAAGTGCTGACTGTGTGCCGCACTACACCTGCAAGTACACTGGAATAATGAGAGCGAGTGCAGCCTGCTCCAGACACACGCTCCACCACAGGCATCTCCAAATTCAGTTATTGTAGCTGTATAAAGTGTGCATGAATATTTCAGCACAGACAGTGGCCTGTAATTGCACTGGCATGGGAGCAACCTTGACAAATTTGACAGAAAAGAGTAACTATGGTATAACTAGAATGACTTGCTAATGCTATAAATATAGAGACAGGCCATTATATCGCTTGGTTGATATTTTGGCTTGTTAGTGTATTGGCTACCCACACTAAATCTCCAGCGTAGACCCATACTTAGTTTTAGTTGATTTGCTGTCTAGAACATACACAAAGCTTTATTTTAAGACTTTAATATGAAGAGGTAACTGCACTAAATGTGATGCACTGTTCTCTTAAAGGTTTGTGGTAAAAAAGGCTGTGGATGAGTTTGTAATAAATTTAAAAGACATAATTTGAGGAATATTATCAAACATTTTGCAGGACATTTACAGGTAATGTGCATGATAAACTACATTTTCTTTGTATGTTCCATGTAATGTTTGTATTCTTTAATTATATGTTGCAGTTAAAAAACAAAACAAAGTCTGAGTCAGAAGAGGGATTTGAACCCAGGTCTCCCCTGTGACCGACCAGAGACTCACCTGTTAAACTACCCAGCTGTTACTAGTGGTGAGAACTATAGCAGATGTTGAGGACAGTTACAAGTATCCTGGTATCCCTCAAGTAAATGGCTCCTCGAAGAGGCAACAAGGAAAGTGGCTACAGGATTTTGCAGAGTAAAAATCTTTTTACAGCCTGATGTATGTTCACTGTGATATCAGTGGAAGATTGTGGGTCTTATGTTTTTTAAGGTTGTAATGCAATATTTGTATTACTGTGTTTACCCCCATGCTGCCCAACACACACACACACCCACACACACACCAACACACACACGCACGCACGCACACACACACACACACGCACGCACACGCACGCACACACTGTGATCATTTTCTTTCTCACTCTCATACACACACAACACAACAATCGAGTTTAAGGAACCAATTATCATTCACTTGTTTTTCTCTGATTCTGTGGTAAAAATGACCTTTGTCCAACACTTGTAAAACAATATTTGTAATTGTATGAACGCTTGTGTCCTGTGTGGTCTTGACTTTGACTTTGATCGTAGAACTTAAATAGTTTAGGGAGCTTGCCTGCTGTGAAATGCATGTTATTCTTATTAGTTTAGCAGTTCATTCTGTCGTCTCTCTTATGTTAATGCTTTGGGACATGTTCAAAATGTGCAGTTTTGAACAGAATCTAATCATAATCTTAAAGAAAAATGACAATTATTATTTTTGCCAAAATTTTTCAGCCCGAAGCAATGAATAGGGCGTGTGTTTAAGAATATTTGTAGTCAACAACAGCTCTGCAGATGTCAGATATCAGCAAAGGCAAACCCACAAATGACTGAATGTATATATGTAAATAAAGAAAGTGGGAGCTTCAAAACAACATTTTGCCCAACAGCCTGATTTAACGGTCTGATGAGTCTGAGAATGATGTAAACGCAATCACTAGACCTCAAATGAACCACGCATTTACCAGTGCAGAGATTGGGGTCTGACTTTGCATCACCATCAAAGCACCAGCCGAGGGAATATCGTCTGGAAGAATAGTTTCATTAAGCTCCAGTTCACGGACTTGGAAATCAAATGCCATGGTACACAAGAGGCATGGGCACATACCTATTGGGAGCTGCTTTTGGATTTGATTTGTCACTTTCTATAACTCCCAATAAAATGGGACTCATACATTTAAAGGTCACCTGTATCTTTGTTCTTGCTGCTTTAGTGGTTTAAACTGTTGTATTTAAGGTCTGCTGAGTCCCGAACTCACAAAGACTGAGTTTGATTGTAATTTGTTCAAATGTCAGGAAATGGTAGGGAAAGTTGAGCATGAATCACATATTTGGTTATGTGGGAGGCTATAAGAGTGAAGGAAATTGGAGATACAAGACACTGTATATAAAAAATTTTAAATAATGGTTAGATTGACAGTATCATCACTATTTGCAACTCAGTTTTACCTGAAGACAGATGTGGGTAGCCAAAAATTTTAGCCAGTCCATCACATTATGGACTGACAAAACTATAAAATAATCCAAACAGAAGGACACAAATACAAATGCTGATACAAAATCAGGAGACGAACAACAACACTTTAAAGTCTTTTTTGTCTTTAAAAAGAACACACAAAATTTAAGCTTTAGTCACTTGTACTTACTCACAACGGGAGGACTACCCAAAACTGTTACTCAAGTAAGAGTTCTGTTACTTCAATAAAAAATATTACTCAAGTATGAGTATATGAATTCTGCTAGAAAAGTTCTCTGAAAAGTAGAATTTCTTTAAAGTTACTGAAGTAAATGTAACTGACTATTATCCACCGCTACCTAAAGAATAATAAATAACATTTTGTATGGGGTGGCTGACGTGGCTGCATTTCTCTAGTGAGATTTTGCAGTGCCTCTGTGGACCCCAATTCAGAGGCAAAAGTGTTTTTTGTGATATGGGAATGTTGCCATTTTTGGATTTAAAGGTTAACGCCTTGACATTTCAGGGCTTAGGGTGTGTTCTATCTTCCCCACACACCTGGGACCTACTGGGGTGTTCTAATTGTCAAACCTTTGTCAAAACACTTTTGAAATGTGCGGCAGTCAAGTTCTTTTTCGCTCATGTGTGGGTTCTCTTTGTGAATGATGTTAGGAAGGGCAAAGGTATTCACTAGATACTTGAAGATGAAGATTTTGAAGTGAAAGCCCAAATGAGAACCTTGATATATTCTACTATTCCTCAAGATATTATTCAAATCCTGGAACAATTTGTTTTTAGTTGGAGCTGCTCTTTTAAAACATACAGCCACTTTTATTAACTATTTCTCTGTTCAAGCTTACATAAGTACTTCTCCACATCTTTTCTCATTGTGTTTTTAATCAGGCACGCTCTGGTTTGCTTCATCATGGCCCACTGAAGATTAACAGGACAATCTGTGCTAATACCTGGGGCTTTACGGGGTTATTTTGGGCTACTATCATGCCCCTGTCCCACGCCTGCCCAGCCCAGCTGCAGCACAATCTCTCATACATAACAAAGAGCCTTTATAACAGCGGTCAGGGTTTGATCTGGACCAGGTAACCTTGTGAAGAATGGATGTGTGTCTGCTCAGCAGTGTAGAATTAACAGAGAGAAGAGCAAAGTAGTGATGACCATTTAACTAAAGTTTTGCTAAATGCATGGGTAGAGTTGAATGAAAAAATCCCTGTTTTGAATTAGATTGCTAAAAGAAACCCCAAAAGTAAAAAAGGGAAACAAGATTTTTGCAACTAATTAGGCTTAAAGGCACATGTGATGTGTTTTTCTAAGAGGTAATGATGGATAAAGGTTCAAGGAGACATATTATGCAAAAGTGACTTTTAAGAGCTTTTAACTATGTTATAATTGTTTTCCCTTCTCATTTACTCAATAATTAATTTTTAGAGTAATTTATACATGCTTGAGTAATCTTTACTCCCCTGCAGTCAAGACACCACTGCTCTGAAAATTCCCACTTAACCCGTGAAGCAGCATGAAATCAGCACTGCAGACTTACTGTGAAGTCGTTTTAGATCACAATTTCAATTAAAAATTTATAAACCATAAAATAATGATTCACAGGTGCCTTAGATTATAACTATGTAGCAAACAAAATGTTTAAAATAAAATAAATAGGTGAATGTGTTGTAAAAAAGTTTATACATTTCTCTAGCTTTTTGAAGCTTTTTATACTTGTTCTTTTCTGGAGTCTGCTCAGCCGACAATAAAACTTTTATCACATCCTATCACATTTAATATACGCTATTAATTACAGGTTTATGGTACCATTACATTTAGAGCTATAGATGGTCTGCCAAGAAAAGCATTTCTGTGAAGCTGTCACCAGGGTCAGAAGGACGGTCTAAATGCCTGATTATCTCCAGAGGTTTTATGGATTAAAGAGAGCAGAGTGATGTCTTTTAATAAACACGGACATTTGTACAATTTACTCTTAGCTGTAAATGGCAGGGTTAAAAAACATGTTTCTTATTAAGATTTCACCACTTTTATCAAGGGTACTACTACATTAAGCACAATGTAGTAGTGTAGTCACAATACTAAAACTCGATTTCTATACTGAGAAATATACTCGATACTCATGACAGATTCCAATACCACTATGATCATTTAAAAAACACTCTTCATTTAGACAACAGAATGTGATCTTCAATCTTTTTAGCATCAATACCTGCTCAAATTAGCCAAGTTTCTAGTTTTATTATTGATTAGCAACTGATTTTCGATACTTTTAACAGCCTAGTTGGCACATCCCTAAACACTGAGATTCAATTCAGACAAGCAAAATTTTAAATAATAAAATGTTTTTGTCTTTATGCATTACTGTTTTTGATGCAGCTAGACGTTTTATTTTATTTTTTCTCTTTTGCCATTTCCTATTGATAATTTAGTGTCATTACTTCCCCTGTAACATTACGTCTGATAAATTTAGAAGCTAAAAGCACATTTATCATCTCGTGGTCGATTTGAAATACCACTATAATTACAGAGGAACCATATTTCTTTAACTGCCTTATTTTAATAATACCGTATGTCACACCTACCAAATGCAGGTCACCTCTTTACGATTTCTTCCCGTTTGAACATTAATCATTTCCTGACGCCCAATTACCTTCACATAATGTCTCCCACTTTATATAAACGCTAGAAAATGAGATACACTTCCTGCTGCTTGGAGAAAAACAGTTTGGAGTATTTGTGTGATGGTGAGAAATGGTGATGGCTATGGCAGAATTACCAGAGTGGCGCCTTGAGAGTCCTGCTGGTTGACCTCCTCTCCCTGCCTCATCAGCTCCTGAATATCTCCCAGCATACTCCGCTCCGTCGAGGCTCGCGTCTCGTTGATCATCTCCTGCGTGATGCCTGTCAAAAAAACAAGAGACAGCTTGAGTTGTAGGAATTTGTCATGTGAAGCTAACTTACTAACAGCTTCTTGTCAAATCTGTTATGATCACAATAATTTATCCAAGAATTGATGTAACATTGCTGCATGACTTTGGGGGAAAAATTCAAATTATGATGATCGTATTTTCATGTTTAAAAACTAGGATTCTGTTGAAAATGCACATTTTAAACAACATTTGAGAGGAGACTTAAATCTGAATTAATGAGCTAACACAAGAACCCCATGAATTTCAGCACCTGTTTTTAAAGGTCTAAACTATAGGAACAACAGATTTTTTCTAAATAATTGCAGTATTTGCGATGTGATTGAAATTATGTATTTGATTATGATGTATTGTGCAGCCCTAATGCAAAGTTATTTTGTCCTTTCCACAGACTGTATATATAAATGGACATAGCTAACCCGTTAGTCGCTGCGTTACAAAAAGGAAATGAGCATCGGCACACTTCCAGCCCCATCAACTGTTCCCAATTCACTTTCTATTAAAAATTGACACCCCTCTCTCTGTAACTGCTGCTGTTCGGCTCCTCATTTTGGTCTTAAAATGTTCCTGTTAACCTGATTTACATGATCCTGGTGTTTATATTTCACTATTTTCTGTAAATCAATTCCTATTTCTAATATGGAACTTGGCTTCAGTTCACCCCTATAATTACAGCCTCGGTGAGCTTCATTTGACTGGAACTGAACACTATGGGTGACATCACACTCCCTTAGTCCAGTTCTTCATACAATCTATGGTTGTTTTCTGTTTCTCTACACCATTAGTTCGAATATCTGCATTTTTGGTAACAAGAAATGCTTAGCCTATAGGCAAGTTTCAGCTGACGTCATTGTTATTAAAAGCCCACGTTGCATGCTGGGAAATATTTTGGTCGGAGGCAAGAAACACAGTAGCGGTCAAACACAGTGCGTAACCTCGCATATTTATCCCTGATAATGGTAAATTCCTGCTGCATTATCGGATGCACAAATAGAAGCACGGAAGAAGGAAAATGTCTTTTTCGTATTCTGAGGGAAAAGAACCACTAACGGTGAATTAAATGGCTTTCAAACATCTGCAGAGCAAACGTAGAAGATCCTAACAAACCGTGGACTCCAACAAGTTCAACAACACATCGAGACTCTTGGAGGTTTTCATCTTTTCTGCTGTGAATGGCCCAGGAGTTTCCACCAAGTCATTGTGGATATCGCCCAAGTGAATATTTGTCCAGGTAGTTGGTGATTCCGACCAGAAGTTTGGTTTGTTCCACCTTTTGTAGAGGTTGAAAAGGGTGATTTGGCTCCATCGATGCTTCTGACCAATTTCTGGTCAAATGGTCTTGGGTCCTCTGCCGTTAGAGTGGATAAATAACCGGGATCAATACCCTTTACGTGCTTTCTCACTCCGTCCGTCATGTTGAATTAGTGTTTCTTGCCACCGACCAAAATAATTCAAAAAATAATTAATTTTGTCAACAATGAAACTCGCCTATATATATTCTTTTAACAATATTGTGGATTTTGGGGATAGTTCTGCTTTATAGTTTAGTTTCAGCATTATCATTTATCATCATTATATATCATTTACCATCTATAATTACTTCGGCAACATGTCACACTTCAAAATGTGTTTATTGTGACAGGCCTAGACAAAACTCCTCCTGACTACATGAACACTGCTTATACAAAGTGAAGGCAGAGCACGTACTATCAAATCAGAAGTGGTCCCTGTCAGACATCACCTGAGTGTGCATATTTTTACTCCCGCCTGTGACAGAGACTTACAACCTAAACCAGGACGAGCGGCGCTGGAGGCAAAATCTTCGCTCCCATCCCTCCTCCATGTCCTCGAACACAAAACCTGACACCTCATCTCAATGTCACGCTCTCATCTCAGACACAGCCCCAGCTGACACGTGATGGCCTCTGCGTTTGATGGAGGAGATAGGGTACAGAGTGGTAGTACCAGCGCAGCTAAAGTGCTATTTGAAAATACACCCACAGTAAGTGCCACAGGAATCACAGTGGCTTTGGCTGACACCCTGCAGCTACAGGCTTGTTTATGCCATATTCTGAGTTATCTACAACAGTTCCCTGCAGGATCTAGTGAAGTGAAACACAATATATCAGCTTAAAATTTTATAGTACAAGTTGGACAGCAGCATAAATAAAGAGTATGTCTTTCTCACGGCTCGCTTTTAGCAAATGTAGTATATGCATTGTGGGCAGGGTTCATTATCTCTTGCCCTTTGCACTTCAGAACAAGAAGTAGTCCATTTGGTTAATGGTAGACTTGAAGCAAAGCTACAGTAAATGCATGTTCTAGGGAGATGAGCAAATCTTTATGAAGAGATTATGAAACTTATCATCATTGAAGTTAAAAAAAATATTTTTTGTGTCTCAGTCCAGACGTGCATAGAAGGGTGAAAAACACAACTAGTTCATTATAAATGGTTTTCAAACCAAAGTGTTTTCTGACTTGCCTTATGCATGCAGAGCTGTTTAATTATTCACAGCGATGAGTTCATAAGTGCTTTTCAACACTTTCAGTGACCAGAGTGAAGTTTTGCTGTCACCGTACCTAACAACAAGTAGCACGCTTAAAGGTGCACTGTATACATTTTCTGGTGGAGGGTCGTCAAATACTTTTCTCAATGGAGATGTTATTACTTTGTCTGGAATGTTTCAAAATATGATATTAAACCTTTCTATCTTCATGGAAACCAAACAAAAGAAAGTTACAAGTCAGATTTGTGGAGAGGCATCCCCGCTCACAGTCAGAATGCCTTTTTTCTAGGTATTCAAATAGTTGTAAGGTAGAGCTGTTTAAGGTCATACTTGGGAACATTCCAGGCAGAACAATGACATCTCCATAGAAACAAGCAGGTAACAGACCCCCAACCAAAAAGTTACAAAGTGTACCTTTAAGTGCACATATGGTGATTGTCGGACAACAAAACAAATTAGATGCACATAGATCACAGCTGACCTATTTGGACCTCAAGTGCTGTTTTATACAATGTATCTGTACTGGGGCAAGACAAATCTTATAGATAGCATTGCACTGATATCACTCTCAGTGATCAGCTGCAAAGTATTCATATAATACACAGGGAAAAAAAGCCAGTGGTTTCATGCATGTAGTTTTCTTAATAATCAAAAACCTCATACAGCTTAATATAGACAAACTGTACCACTCCACCACAAAATAAAATCTGTGCTAATGACAACTCTAGCTAGAACAACTCTTCCCTTGTATAATACAGTATATTCCTGACTTCTCCTCCAGCATCTTGACTGCACTGCCCTTGCACTGCTCTCTCTGCATTACACTGAGTGTGGCTGTGTCTGTGTGTGTCTGTGTGTGTGTGTGTGTGTGTGTGTGTGTGTGTGTGTGTGTGTGTGTGTGTGTGTGTGTGTGCGTGTGTGCGCGAGCACGTGCGCGCGCGTGTGTGTGTGTGTGTGTGTGTGCGTGTACTTGTGCATATGGACGAGTGTGTGCCAAGCCCTCTCCAACACAACAGTGTGGGGAACAGTGCAGGGGCAATTAGCGGCACCAGGGCCCACTTTGATCGCGTTCATAATCATTCTCCTCACCGCCTGTGCTCCTATCTGTATCGAGCGCAGATACACATCCCATTGTAAACTGAGGAGCTCATTTTGTGTCGTTTTTCACCCTGGCCTCAACTCCGCTTTGCAGTCTGTGGGTGTTCAAATAAGTCTAACATACAGTTTACAACCCATGTGAGCGCCATTGCATAATAAAAACTATTAAAAGCGCTGTTTACAATTACACAGTGCGATTAGCAGGGCTGTTCTATCCTCTCATTATGTGGTAGTGTTTGATGAAGTGTCCTACGTTCTTCACAGCATTTAGTCTGTTGCAAGCAAGGACTGCAATCACTTTACAGTTACTATTTCATTCACTCTTGTAATGTTGGCGTTAATTGTCTACAGTGTACTTTACGGCAAAATCAATTACTTGCAGTGAATTGATCTTGCTCTAATGACCTTGAAACAGAACATTTTGTTGTGATTCATGACAGATTGCAGAGGCACAAATGTGTGATTAAAAGTGGCCCCATTCGGTCGTGGCAGTCCAACATAATTGTCAGGAAATGTTAGAAATGAAACAAAAAGGTTAAAGAGAAGCTTAACTAACTTCCACAAATGTTCACAAAGACTGCAATAAGTGAGAAACCACTACAGGGTAAGTACAGAGCGTTCAACAGTTGTATAAAAATATCTGTAACGCATTCGTGTGTTGGTCCCTTTGTTTACACAGAAGAGTCAGGGCCAATTATATATGAACTGAAGTGTATGACAGTTCTTTCAAACGCAGAGCAAACCAAGATGACTTTTGCTCACAAACAAACAAACAAAACTAAAGAACAAACTTTTTTATACTACATCCTCAACAACTTTAGAACTTTTTCAACAGTATTCAGAGGCACGGTCTGGACGGGCTTAGGTTAACAATTAACATTTAACAACGACTTTCAGATTAGTTTTAACGTGGGACTAAACAACTAAACTCCACCCACAACTACATTTCAAATAGAGCTGATAAACTCTGCAGTACCTGGAGGACTACAGGGGATCTAAGAGATATTCCACTTCAAACTCTGCTCCTGCCAGGGGTTATAGTCAGAAAACCTAGATGTAATCAGGGCAGCCCCTAGTGATGTCACCTACTATTGGAAATGACAGGCCACTGAAGGCGACATATAGATTTAGGCATTTTTGACCAAAAAACTGCAAATGTACCTACCTAAAATGACTAGCAATAGTGGATAATGCTATTAAAACACCATATGCACAGATAAGTAGCAAAAAATAGTGACACTTTAAGCCAATTGGCACTTGTTCTGTGTTTTGAAGTCCCAAATGTAGATGTAACCATGGTTCTATGAGTCCCAGATCACTTCAAGTTTTGCCGCTCTGCTGCACTCAGTGGTTGGTAAGAGTTTCACTTGAGCTGAACGACAGTCTACGATGAGGCATGAATCTGCATCCCATTAGAATGAAAGAGCAGCAACCACAGCAGAAGAGCTCCCTCAAGTGTCAGCACTGAGGCCACAAGGGGGCGCTGAGAGCTTTTGAAGGTCATGCCCCCGTTGTAATCTGCTCATCTGTCTGGGACACTGTATAACACAGTCACCTCCCGTTAGCAAGAAGAAGACTTGATAAATAGATGAGCAAAGGTGGCAACAATATCACTGTGTTTTTAATTTGGGCATGAGAGGTTACATTTTTATATCTCTTTAAAAAAAACACACACACACATTCATAACAAAGGTGCATTGTGTAACTTTCTGGTGGAGGGTCAGCCATTCGCTTGTCTTCACTGAAATGTTATTGGTTTGTCTAAAATTTTCCACTGTATGGAATTAAACTTATCTATTTCCTTTGAGAGAAGCCCACAATGCCTCCATGGCAAGTTACAGGTCAGATCCATGAAGAGGTGAGCTTGCTTACTGTAAAGAATGCATGTTTTTGTAGTATTTTTAAGCAGTAAAACACCAATAATTGAATAAATGCACCATAGATTAAGGCCATACTGTGAAACCTTCTAGGCAACGCAATATCTCCATGGAAACAAAAAAAAGTTACACAGTACACCTTTAAAGCTAATTATAGTGTTATCATAAGGTGTAACCAGAAACTTCATTTGCTACCAAGAAGTTATTATTTTATCACATCTGCATTCACTGACCAGACGTGACACCCTCTTAATTTAGGGTTAGAAGTTATTTTTTAAGCCTTGCAGCAATTTCACTTCACAAAAGAGCAGTGAAGGCTAAACACTATCATGTCAGACAAGAACAACACGAAGAGAAGAAAATGAACACAGTGCAGCTTTACAAACAGAACTCTGGGTAAAACATTATCTCATTATTGCATCTGTCTACAGACAAATCCATGACTGATGTATTTAAAATGAACACAGCCGTCTGACGTCCTCAGGTGCCTCCCACACACTCACCTCTGTTGGCCATAGCTGTCTCGATGATGTCCAATGTAGGGTCGTCCTCACAAAGGTCATAGGGCATGTTCCCATCCGAGTTAACTGCCAGGAGGTCGGCACCGCTGTGGGACACAAGGGAGTAAAAGTGATCAATTGATTCAGGTAGCTGACCTTAAAATCTGGTTTGTTTATTATGCAATACTGTATGACTGTATTGCCCCAAAAGTATGGGTTAAATGTGGTATCAGGATATGGTTTGCTCCCTTACTTAGAACTTCATTATACAGATGGCACAGTGAATTGAGTTAAATGGTGTAGTGTCCTTGGGCAAGACACCACCAACAGACAAAAAATTACATGTTAAATGGTATACGGTCACATTTGTTAAATAATAATAAATAATGCAAGGATTTATATAGCATTTTTGGACACTCACAGACACTTTACAGAGCCTTATTCATTCATTTCACACTCGGTGGTAAGACACTATTGCAGTCACCACTGGCTTGAGGCGGACTGACGGAAGTGATGCTGCCACTCACCCATTCACACACACATTCATACACCGATGTAGACACTGGGGATGAGGGGAGGTTAAGTGTCCTGCCCAAGGACAAAATGACAGTGTTCATCGAGGCACAAACCTGTGGGTCAGTGGTTCTGATCACTCAGCCAATGATGTTTCAACCAATCAGAGGAGGAATATTCTACCAACTGACCAACTGCCACTTGTTGACCCTGTTTGAATAAATTATGTCACTTTATTCAAGATGTGTGTAAAATCCCTCACATTTCTCCTTTGCCACGTCACCTTTTTCCATTAAATTTTAAACAATCCAATACATTATTTGCTTTAGATCAACATAAAATAATTGAATGTAAAAATATCATATTTGTGGTAGTCATGGTGACTCATTGTACCCGATTTGCAGCTATACCTCTGTCAGTTAAGAAGTAATACTCAAAAAATGCAATAAACATGACAAATACAAAATAAAGCAAACTAGGTGCCATACATGTTACATATTACTTTTCAAGAAAATTGCCGCAGTACTTTTTTATTGACTACATGTTTGTGAAAATTTTAGAGAAAGAGCAAAAGTTGTGGACAGTCATACTAAATAGGAGTTTGCAGCTAATACCCAATGGTAATTGCAGACTGTTAGTCGTAGGCAGCTCGACCTGCATTATTCAGAGTTTAATCAGTCGTTGTGAGGCGTATAATGACTTCAACTGACTTGATTAGTCACTACAAGGCCTGCATTTTGAAAGATGGAGCAGTATGTATTCGTATATGTTCTAACTGCACTCGTGGCTGTGTCAGAAATCCAAATTTAACCTTTAATTAAAGCCTTATTAAACAGCAGCTCATGAGCCTGTGGAAATGTAGGGTCATTTCTATTGAACCATGAATTGCATTAACACAAATATGGCAAGTATATTATTTGAGATATGATTACAAGTCCTCTGGCAGCAGTTAATTTAATATGTTTGGTTAATGCGTTCTGCCATTTTGATAAGAACAGCCCCCACTAACATTACCTGCAGTGCTTCAAAATGTAATTAAGCATTAACTGCCAAACAAAACAATGGCTCATTGCTCTCTCTATTTAAAGTCAAGGTGTATCTCTGTATTGAGCTACTGTGTATTTAGTGGTAGTTCCAGTAAGCATAAAATATATTTGTACAATAGGCCTTAAGTATACAATTTGACAAGAGACCACATTTTTATCCAGACTTGGCACTTGGCAAGTTCACTTCCACAATCCATTAGGAACAAAGACTCATTGCAGCACTTCAAATCCCTACTAAAAGTCACCTGTTTAATCTGGCACTCCTCCTATAATTTCTGTCATCTTCTATAAGTGTCTTTCAGTGTCCAAAAAGGTGGTATATAAGTCTGATGTATTATTATTATTATTATTATTATTATTATTATTATGTAAACTAGTGCCTCTCAGTCCAGCCCAGTGAGTCCTCCACAGATTGCCATGATGATCAGTTGAATATCATTTTCCATCCGCTCTGTTTTTATGTGTTTGTGTGTTCTCTTACTGTGCGATGAGTATCTTGACGAGACCGGCGTGGCCACAGGTGGCAGCAGCGTGCAGGGGAGTCCACAGCTCATTGTCCTGAGCGTTCACACTGGCTCCTCGGTCCAGAAGGATCTTCACCATCTCCTCATAGTTATCTATACAGCACTGAGGAGAAGAGACAACAAACAGGAGGATTAGAGTGGGCATTTACAACTAATGATATCAGGAGCAGGAAAGCGTTTTAGAGAGATAAACATTTTGGCTCTGGCTGCATTAAAAAGAGTAAATATTAATCAAAACGTAAGAGGCTTCTTTATTGGTTGAGCAATTTCTTCAAATTACATGCTTTTCAATGTGTACACAACATGCCCTTGTAAGATCGTTTCAAAATTAAACTGTGACCCATCCTTGGCTTTAGTTCTTTAGAAAGATTGCTACCTGCCAACACTGAAGCATAAAATATGATTATGAAAAGTCTCCTCTGGAACTAAACTTGATTTGGGGGAAAATTACCTGTAAAAAGTGAACATGAATTTCACTAATAAACTGTGTAAGAAGTAGCTTGGTTGACTAGTCACATTTTTTGAATCAATTTAATTCAAAAACAGGATTTGTCATGTATTATTCTGGAGCAGAACAGGAGTTCAGTCCATTGTGTGGGTCCAGGCTACACCCAGACCTGACACCCAAACACTGCAGCCAGAGACTTTGTTGATACTAGCGTGATTATAGGCTGAGGCGCAGGAAGAAGAATTTTCCATAAACTCATCCTCAATCTGTCAGGAGCAGCTGTTTTCATTATTAGCGCTTAACTGATCTGAGGGCTGCAGAGCAATGTTGATGCTCAAAGATAAGGATGACAGAGAATGTAAAAATAACATACTAATAGTTAGGCTTGTAGCATCATGTCTTATCAGAATCTCATGTTATAAGATTGATGTGAGAAAACACTACTGTTATTTAGTAGGTGTTTATTCAGCCTAGTTACCTGGGATACAGAGTACACACTACTTCAATACTTGATGAAGATAAGAGTCTGGTCAGTGAATCCGTGAGTTCAGAAGGGTGTGATTGACAGATAGATAAGCCAATGAGGAACACACATCAGTCTGTATCAAAACAAATATGGCTGCTTATGAGGAATGAAGGCAAGAAAATGTCATGGGCGACTGAAAAGTATTTCTGCAGAATCAATGAGTAAACCATTAAACTCTGTTAATCTGAATAGAGGAAAATTTGATATGATCGTGTTTGGTTCTGGAGATACAACGAAGGGCGCAGTGACCACCCATATGGAAAAGGTATAGACAAATCATACACCATTTTAACATGTTTTATCTGAATCCTAAAAGATGTGTATATGACAGTGAAAACAGTTACAAGATCTTTGGTAAATATGTTCAGGCATGAAACATATAAAACTTTGTAACCTGCAAGAGCTGAATATGACACTGATCCCACACACAATATCCTCACAAGTGTTGGACAAAGGTCATTTTTACCACAGAATCAGAGAAAGACAAGTGAATGATGTTTGTTTCCTTAAACTCAATTGTTGTGTTGTGTGTGTATGAGAGTGAGAAAGAAAATGATCACAGTGTGTGTGTGCGTGCGCGTGTGTGCGTGTGTGTGTGTGTGTGCGTGTGTGTGTGTGTGTGTGCGTGTGTGTGCGTGTGTGTGTGTGCGCGTGTGTGTGCGTGTGTGTGCGTGTGTGTGCGTGCGTGTGTGTGTGCGTGCGTGTGTGTGTGTGCGTGTGTGTGTGTGCGTGTTGGTGTGTTGGTGTGTGTGTGTGTATGTGTGTGTGTTGGGCAGCATGGGGGTAAACACAGTAATACAAATATTGCATTACAACCTTAAAAAACATAAGACCCACAATCTTCCACTGATATCACAGTGAACATACATCAGGCTGTAAAAAGATTTTTACTCTGCAAAATCCTGTAGCCACTTTCCTTGTTGCCTCTTCGAAGAGCCATTTACTTGAGGGATACCAGGATACTTGTAACTGTCCTCAACATCTGCTATAGTTCTCACCACTAGTAACAGCTGGGTAGTTTAACAGGTGAGTCTCTGGTCGGTCACAGGGGAGACCTGGGTTCAAATCCCTCTTCTGTCTCAGACTTTGTTTTGTTTTTTTAACTGCAACATATAATTAAAGAATACAAACATTACATGGAACATACAAAGAAAATGTAGTTTATCATGCACATTACCTGAAAATGTCATGCATAATGTTCACTTTATCTTTACTAGTTTTTCATAATATAGTTGTATGGGAAAAATGCAAAAGGGGGACACTTTCAGGATTAAACCACACCTGACACATATGAACCTTATATAAAGATTTACTATAAAGACATTAGTAAATTCTTATATTTTTTTCCCATTTTTTTTCCATATGGGCAGATGGATGTCATTCTTTATTTGGCATGTGACAAACCTTGAAGCACAAAGAATGTGAATGTATAACCAAATCTAGATAGATGAAGACACTAAAACTCAAAGCAGAGATGTTGTAGTTCAGGGGTAAATCCTAAAACCAGCATGACAATTACTACATCCACTTATCATACTATACATAATAGCTGGAACAATATATTTTGTGGCTCATGATTATTTATTATTTTCTTTGCAAAACTAGAGAGATTTTTGTTATTTTTTTAAGATAGCTGTAGCTGAATAAGTCACTAGTTATTTTTAATTTTAATTATTAGTTCTGCTGTTCATTTGCAGCAGCTTTTTCCTGTTAATGATACTATATATTTTAAAATGGTTTACTGGGCGTATCCTGCTTTTGTATCAGTGGCATAAAGTAGTTATAGTATTATTGGTTATCATAATATCTGTAGTTTATAATATACATTTGTAATCATGACAGGCCTAGCAAATACTTTTTGCCTTTGACTTATAACTGTCATTCTTACAACCCTTTCTATGTCAAATTACACGACTAAGAAAAGTAGAAAATTAAGCTTTTTTTTCTAGTTCAGGGACAGTGCATATTAATCAGGATTTCCGTGTAAATATGCCAGAATAAGTCAGAGAGATATTTTTCATCTGTTAAATGGAGGGAGCAATTATACATTCAAGTAACAACGTCATAAAACATAGTCATTGTCGTAGCATCTGTGAATGTAAAATTGCCAAATATTTCTATGAATTTATTTATTTTTGATGAGACAGTGCGTACTAATGAACAAACTAGTGTAGTAAATATACCCCAACTTATACCAAATACCTAGTTAGTAGGGCTGGGTATCATTAAGAAGATGCCGATACAATACATACCTCGATACATAGTCCACGATACGATACATATTTCGATACAGTGAACTTACGATTCGATACGATTTATTTCAAATTGATTCGATACCATTCAATAAAAATAAAGTCTAAATCATGGCTGTGATACTAAAAGTGTTTCTTAAACCACATCTTGTGCAAAGTGAATATGAAACACAAACATTTTAATCCTCAAAACTGTGAAAATGGCAAATGTGTCACATGCACTGCAAAAAATAAAATCTAGTCAAGTTAAGACGAATTAAGAAAGTTTTATCATGATTTGAGTAAATTCCACTTGACAAGTTAAATTATCTATCAGCGGAATATGATTTTTTGTTCTTAAAATATGAAAATACAACTTGCTACACTTAAAAAAAGAAAAACAACAACGATTAAAATAAGAAATGAAATTGAATGTTGCTTGAATTTAGAAAAACACTTAATTTTCATTTTAACTCACCTTTTTGCTGTGTGAATGAGTTTCCTTCCACTAAACAAACAACAAAACTATAGCTGTAACAAAATAATTTAGTAAAATACACAAAAAATACTCAACACGCAAGATATCGATACAGCAGCCCATGGTATCGATACTGTATCATTACATTAAACGATACGATATATTGATATTTCAGTATTTTTGCACACCCCTACTAATTAGCATTTTCTATTAGAATCAAATAGCTACATAACTATATAATCATGTATAAATAAAACATAGTGCTAAAATTGGATAGCAGCATATTTACTCATTCATCTCAGTGTGTTGGTGGGGCTGGGGCTTGGTGGTGAAGAAAATGGAAATGATACCAATGAGATTCTTTCAAAGCCCTGCAGTTGTTTTTCTAAATCTCATACCTCTTCTCCTGCTTTCCCTGAAACTAAACAAGGATTGGGGGGAAAAATACATCAGTGGATGTAAAAAAATATGTTCTAAAATATCTTCAGCCTGTTATCTCCAAATGACACACTAATCTTCTGTGCTGATACTTTGCAGATGACGTAATCAACATTCTCTGGTTGTATGAAGCTAACTGAAAGCACTGTTGTGTTAGAAGCTCTGTTACTCATGCAGTGTTGGGGAGTAACAGATTACATGTACTGGAGTTACGTAATCAGAGTACAAATTATGAGTAACTGTTACTGTTTCAGTGAGTGGTAATTGGATTAAAATTACTTTGTTGAAATAAATGGATTACATGGAGGTATTTTCTTGTTTTCACATTTTGGGCTATACCCCCCTAAACTAGATCTAAACTATATTTATACCAGGTCTAAACCGGGACTAAAACCAGGTCTAAACTAGATCTAAACCAGGACTAAACCAGGACTAAACGAAGACTAAACCAGGACTAAAAAAGGACTAAACGAAGACTAAACCAGGACTAAACGAAGACTAAACCAGGACTAAACCATGCTGTGTGTATGTGTTTCCTCCTCTTCTATCAATAATATTTTTAATTTAATTTAATTTTAATTTATTTTAATTTTAATTAAAGTAAAGTTTGGTCTTTTTATTTTCTTTTATCAGATAAAACATCTTATGTTACAATATCCTAGTCTTTGCTTCTCTACAGCAAATCAAGTAATCCAAAGTATTCAGATTACGTTACTCACTTTAAGTAATTTACTGGATTACATTACAAACTACATTTTGGGGTATGTAATCTGTAATCTATAGGGGAATACATTTTAAAAGTCACCTTCCCAACACTGTACTCTTGTTAGACTTTAATCTGAGGTTTTTCTTTTTTGACACAATCTGACCAGAAAGAGGTGACTTGGTTGAAAGTTCGACAAGTCTCTCACACATAAAATTACAGTCACAAGCAGCATTAGCCAACAGTTTTTCAATTAGCCTAGTAGTAGTAGTAGTAGTA